ATTGTACAAGATTGAATCAATGTGGGCTGGGAGTGTGGCTTAGTAGTAGAGTGCTTGCCTAGCATGCATGAAATCCTGGGTTCAATTCCTCAGTACCATATAAACAGAAAAAGATGCAAGTGGCGGGGCTGGGAAGGTGGCTCAGTGGTAGAGCGCTTGCCTTGCATGCCTGAGGCTCTGGGTTCGATTCCTCAGCACCACATAAGCAAAAAGAAAAAAGCTGGAAGTGGTGCTGTGGCTCAAGTGGTCGAGCCCTAGCTTTGAGCTGAAGAGCTGAGGGACAGCGCCCAGGCCCAGAGTTCAGGCCCCACAACCAGACCCCCCCCCAAAAAAAAGATGGAAGTGGCGCTGTGGCTCAAGTGGGAGTGTTAGACTTGGGCAAAAGAAGCTCAGGGACAGTGTCCAAGCCCTGAGTAAAAGCCCCAGGACTGGCAAAAATAAATAAATAAAGATTAAATCAGTGTCATAGCCTTACCATTGGTCTTCCTGCTTCTAATTTTCCTGTTCTCTGTCCATTGCATAAAATCTTTTGTGGTGCCTCTTCCCTTTTTCAGTGAGATTTATACACACACACTCTCTCAGTATGGTATATAAGTGAATGCCTTGGATCTTGGCCTATCCCCCACACGTTTCTGTTGCTGGCCACACTTTCTTCTTTCCTTGAGCCATGTGCAAATCTCCCTATGGGAACCTCTCATTCATTTCCTTGTGTTTGAATGTGTTGTTTCCTCTGCCCAGACCCCTTCATTTCATTCTTCAAAGCATAGATAGTCAGCATACCCCAAAGAAAGGTTCAGATCCTGCCTTCCTTTTGTAAGCCCCTTATGGCCTAATTTATCCTTCAGTTGAGTCTCTTAGGAACATGGTATTTGTAGTTGTCATGTCTAAAATTGCACCTGTCTCTTAGAGTCCTGATGATTATGTGAATGAGGGACTATGGTTTATATATGCTGAGTGGTGCGGTAAATACAAAGATCCCTGGGTTGACCAGACTCTATAGCTGGTCTCCTTGGAGGACTTGGCTAATTGTTGAGAATGGATTCTTGAGATAGCTTTCTTCTTGGCTTTCTTGAGACTGATGTTGTATCACATTGCTTTTAGTCCTAACACTGAATCCAAGTAGCTTTCATGTGAAGGTCAATGGGAGTCCCAGTTGTCACTGGCCTGCAGTTAGGCAGAAGGGTGATATCAGAATCTGGACACAGAAGCTCTGTTCCCCCCTACTTATGTGTGTATCCATATATATACTTTGGTTCTTGAGTTTACTTGCAGACAGACTGCTTTTCAAAAATCAAGTAAGAAAATAAGTCAGTATGCTTAGTTTTTCTCCATAATTCATTTATAGGTCATACCCTCAAACCTGAAGAGAAAAATCAGTGTGGGATTAGAATATGTATTGTTATAGGAGCAAAGAAGGGTTAATGTGCTATCAGTGAGGCAGTTCCTTATTTTCTCGGACACATCACTCAGTGACTCAAGAAGGAGGATACATGAAAAGTGTTAACATTGTGTTTATGTTTTATTACTGAAGCCACCAAAAACAAGAGGAATTGCCAAATTATCTGGAATAGATAAATGTCAAAGCCCTCTGAGACTAACTGAATGATTCATGGGCATCTCAGGATGTTTTGAAGGTATTGTGTCATCTAAGTTAAACTATTTTTGTCACTGGTCATGGAGTAATAATACATCTTACTAGAAGAAGTGGTGGCGGTAATATTATGTGCCAGTAAGCCAACACTTGGGAGGATGAAGCAAGAGGATCATCAGTTCAAGGGCAGTCTTGGATGTAGAGAGAACCTGTCTCAAAACAAACTACATCTTAACAATTATTGAAGTAAAGTTATGCAACTGGCAGGTTCTGTTTCAAAGCCAAGCAGCCTAGCTCTGGGACTCAGTCACATCCTATACTCTCCTTTTTGCTGAAGAAACATCTGCAGGGTGCAAAGGAGTTTGTGAGTCAACTTTTTGAGCACAGGTTAGCTATTTCTGAGATGATGAGGTCACATTTCAATTCCAGTACCTCTAATCAAAACCTATTTCTTAACTAGCCACATTATAATAGGTTACATTAGTGACCTACCAGACAGCAGGTTTCAGTCAGGACTGTGCTGTCATCAAAATAATTACAGCTAAATTGGAGGCACGGTGAAAAGCACCCTCTCCCACTCTTTACATTGGCCCAACACCAACGAGACATAAACCTGGGTGTTGGGCAGATTGGGATTAACAGATTAGAATAGCAATAAGTACTCCATGTGAGGGCACTGTGTAGATCACATCTGTGACAGGATTGCTAGTAGTTCACCCCTAATTTGTATGATTTTCTACCTGACCCAGTGCACACCTGAATAACTGAAGAGGCAGCATTCTTGCTACATGGAGCTGCTGATAAGAATGCACATATTTTGCAAACAGGCTGGTTGTAAAAAGACAAAGAAAGAAATTACTTTGTGGAATGTGTTTGTCTCTTCCTCCTTCACTGAGGCCACCTCCCTGGAGAGAGTCACGTAGGGGATAGAAGTGGAACCTTCAGAACATCCCTTTGTGACAGTCTGAAATCAAAACCCCCACTTTCATCATTGCGACCATAAATGATGACATCACTAGACAAGAGTTCTCATTTTCACTCTTTCCCTTCTCTCATTTCAGGCCAAAATCAGTGTGGTAGCATAAACAAAGTTGGTAGGGAGGTTGCATTTAGTTTGAGTGCAGCACTGTTATTTTATGTCAAAACAGCATCTGTAGTAGCTTTGCCTGTTGCATTTAGATGTGCTAACAAAAAACTTGAGAGTACATACTGAGAGACATCTGTTTCCTCATTGCCAGGACTTTCCACTAAAAAAAATTAATCCTCTGAATGTTTTGGTCAAATATTTTACAGATATCTAATATGGTTTGCAGGTCTGAGTTTTATCCAGGTAGATTTGTATCATGTTGTTGTAACCCACAGTACTATGGATCTTGTTTATTCGTGTGTGTGTATGTGTGTGTGTGTGCGCACCTGTGTGCCTGTGTGCCTGTGTGTGCCTGTATTTAGAGCTTGAACTCAGGACTTGTTCTTGCTTAGTTATTTTTCTGAAGGCTAGTACTCTATCAATTGAGCCACTGCTCTATTTCTGTTTTCTTGTTAGTTGATTGAAGAGTCTCAAGGACTCAAGTTCCTCCCTGCCAGGTTAGCTTTGAACTGTGACCCTCAGATCTTACCTCCTGAGTAGCTAGGATTATATAAGCAGTATATATATAAGCAGTGCCCAGCTTAACATTATATTTTTAAATGCCTCTTATAAAATAAAGCTATCCAGGTATCATTTTAAAGTATGTGTCATTGGATGCTCATGAGTAGTATTCTAATAAGTATTCTAATAATTGATTTTTCATTTTTATTGTATTTTCATACGTTGGTGTAACTAGCAGCTATTTTGTTAATTTAGTGCTGAACACATGGTAGGTCCATTGAGAGACCCACCTACTTGTTAATCACTTGAAGTGTGAATCTCAAAGGAGACATTTGTTTTTCTTGCTTCATTCTAAACATTGGGCTACTGGTAATTTTGTACAAATTAATTTGGGCCAACTTTAACTTACTTGTACTGGTACAAGTAGTTCCTTGGTCTTCAAATTGCTTTGTCCCTGAGAAACAAGCACATACAATCTTTTATAACTGATCTTTTTTTATGATCATGGGGCTTGAACCAGGGCCTGGGTGTTGTCTTTTATCTCTTTAGCTCAAGGATACTTGAGCTAAAGTACCCTTAGTCTACTTAGTCACATCCCCACTTTTGGCTTTTTGCTGGTTAATTGGAGATAAGTCTTATCAACTTGCTTGCTTGGGCTGGCTTTGAAACTCAATCCTCAGATCTCAGCCTCCTGCATAGCTAGGATTACAGACTTGAAGCACTGGTACCCAGCTAAATTATTCTTAATTTAAAACTTTATTTTAGATATTTAGTTTTTCCCTGATTTTGTTAGGAAAGTGCCTGGCCTTGGAAGATAGCTGCATGCAAAGATCAAAGCATTTCCCTACAGGACAGTATATGGTTCACACTTTTGAGGCTAGGTACTTTATAAAGGAAAGAGGTTTGTATAGCTTAAATTGGGATGCTGATAGCTCAAGCATCATTATGCTGGCTCATGTGAAGTTCCCCTTGGCTTGGTCACCTGATGGCTAGCAAAAGCATGGTAGGAGATTGGGTGAGAGACAGGAAGCCAAAGAGGCTTGAGAGTGGCCAGGCTTATTTGCTCACAACCTTCTTGGGAAAACTCACTAGGAGTCCTATATGAACTGTTTCGGTCTATTCCAATGGCAGTGCTCCCTGGCCTACACACCACCTAGAGTCCCACGACTTGTAGCATCAGCATCCTGGAGGCCAGGTCTCCAACCACTTCTAAAGCATGACAAGGGCATCCTTTCAGAGGCTGTGACAGCTGTGTGATATGGTAAGCCCATGGGAGCCAAGCCAAGGAGCAGACCCCAGCTCAGTTTCTGAACTATTCTTCTGCCCTGTTTTCTTCTAGCTCTACCCTTAAGATACTTCTCACTGAGGCTAGTCATCTTGCTCTTTGCATTCCTCACCTATATATGTCCCTGTGTGTGGCCACCCTTACCACCCTTTCTGATGAGTCCTATCTCCATCTGACCTCTTTATTAATGACTCTCGAACATGTTCACTTCTCTCTCCTGGTTTGCACTGCCCAGGTGCTTGTGAAATTGTACAGCTATAACACAGATGTGGTTGAGCTCTGGCTGTGCTTGGGAACCAGTCATGTGACCTCTAGCAAGATGTATTCTTGATCTCTGTGGGCCTTTTTGTCTCACCTAGGAAGTAATTTCCAAGGACATGATGCACTGTGGCCTGGGAGTCCTGGGAAAGTGAACACAGCCTCCATTGTGGAGTACTTGTTCCTTTTGAGCTTACACTTGCTCTGCAGAGGCTGCTATCCACTGGACTCAGGCCTGTGCTGCTGTATCCTGCTAACTTTGCCTTTTTTTTTTTTAGGGCTGGGAGAGGGTTCTGCCCTCCTTCATCCAGACAGCAGGTCCCATCCTCGATCCCTAGAGAAAAGTGCCTGGAGGGCTTTCAAAGAATCCCAGTGCCATCACATGCTCAAGCATCTTCACAATGGTGCAAGGATCACTGTGCAGATGCCACCAACGATCGAGGGCCACTGGGTCTCCACAGGGTAAGAGCACGGGAGCAGGGGTGGGGCCAGGGAAATACTAGAGCACATATACCTGTAGGAGACCCCTTCTTTTTCTTTCATTTTAAAAATATTATCTTGAAGTAGTTGTACACAGGAGTTGCCATAACAAATCATTTATAAGTGCAATGCATCTTGATCAATGTTGCCCCTTTCATCATTCTCCCTCATCTCTCCCAACCCATTCTCTCCCCTCAATTTTCTTAGTTTCAGAGAATATGCATTGAATACAATAATTGCATTGTGTCCTTCCCTTCCTCTCTTCTTTCCTCTATCACCCCTGTCCCTTACCTCCCCCGGGACTACACCTTTCAAAGGATGGTTTTCTGGTATTCATTTTGTTGGACCATGTGTAAGTTTTTCTAAAGAATTTTACTGTTTGAATTCTCCTGCAAATACCATACTTCAGGTAATACATTCATTGCATATGACTCCGTATGTATTTACTTGTACATTTATAAATTAGCTTCCACATGTGGAAGAAAACAGGTATCTTTTGTCTGTCTGGGTCTGACTTACTTCACTAAAACATAATATTTTTCAAGGTCAATCTATTCTTTGCAAATGATGTAATACCCGTCATCCTAATGGATAAGTATAATTCCATTGTTTAGATATACACTACATTTTCTTGATCCATTCATCTTTTATGCGCTGTTTCCATTCCTTGATTATGGTGAATAGTGCAGAAAAGCCCCTCCTTGTGGATTCTCACATGCAGATTTATACAAGCTGGGATGAGTCTGGTGGTGTCTATGTTCTAAGGAAGAGCTGACACCTCTTTGAGTTTCTGGATGGTTAAGAAAACAGAGCTAAGTACTCTAGAAAGTTGCATGGCAAAGCAGAGATTATGTTGTCCTGCTGTTAACCTCCTGGTATGAGTGAATAGATCCCTGTTTACTGAACTCCATGGGACCACTTGTGCATAAAGAGAAACCATTAGCAAGTGAAATTAATCGTCTGTGTTTCACCAGCTCTGAAACATGACTGGAAAGCTTCTGATGCACTAAATAATCTAGCCATATTCTGGTAATTTAATATATGGCTACGGGACTCTTAACAGTAAGTTAAAAGCTGCCTCAACTAGTCAGGGCGTAGTTCTTGGATTCTTTTCCATGCTCTGAAGCTGAGATTTATCCCAGTTTGAGCTCTGGCTTATCTTCCATTAGAGCTTTTAAAAAATAGCCTAGAGGCAGATCTGTGAGTTTTCTTTCTACCCATTAAATTGTTGAGCATGAACTGGACTAACTCTGGGATCTGATCATTTCTCCCTGGACTCCATTTCTAGGATATCCCTGGGGAGAGATCGAGTGCCTATGGATACAAGTAAAAAGAAATCTTACAAAATGATGAAGGCTTAGAATTTTTTTTTCTAACAATGAAGTCTCTTAAAATAACTGCATGATAAATTATTTCCATAAAAACGTTTAGTAGGAAATCAAAACTTTAAATGATCAAAGTCCTGTCAACTGTGTGCCAGACATGATTGTGAATTTTGAATATTTAGCAGTTCCTGCCTTTGGGGATTTTACAGTTAAGCACAGACAGAAGTACTATGGTGGGTAGAAGGAGGGCAGGTATGACAAGAAAATATTAGGACCATAGAAGGACCCAGAAAGTCTAGCACAGAGGAAGGACCCTGAAGCTGAGACAAAGACTGAAGAAAGACTTCTGGCTTGAAAAACCAGCTAAGGTCTTGCTGCATACAGAGGCCAGACTGGAGACCTACTGGAGTAGAACAAGGGAAAGCAATTCTAGAGAAGCCTGTGGTGGTGAAGGCACCACAACATTCCCTCCCTCCCTCCCTCCCTCCCTCCCTCCCTCCCTTCTTTCCTTCCTTCCTTCCTTCCTTCCTTCCTTCTTTCTTTCCTTCCTTCCTTCCTTCTTTCCTTCCTTCCTTCCTTCCTTTCTTCCTTCCTTCCTTCCTTGTTACTCTCTGTTGTTGTTGTGTTAAAAACAGCTCCTTGCTGGCCAAGTTTGCTTGGTCTAGCCTGGAACTCCTGGACTCAAATAATCCTCATGCCTTTGTCTCAGAATATCTGGGAGTACAGGAGTATACCACTACACCTAGCTTATAGATCTCCTTCTAGGAAAAGAGAACTGGGAAGTTATTGAAGCATTTTCCTCTATTCACCCCCTCCTCTTCACCTCCCTGGGACTACACCTTTCAAGGGATGGTTTTCAACCTCCACCATACTTGAACATAATTCAGCTTTACTGAAGGATGCTCTGGCTGCTGTAGCAGATGGATGGGAGAAAATGTGATGTGAGTGGGGGTGACTCCTGAGATTGTTACATACTTCCAACTAGAGATGGCGAAACTTTGGAGATTGCTGGGTGATGGAGAAATGGCTGGACCTGAGGTACAGTGGGTGCAGGAAGCAGAATTCACAGGCTGTTGATGCCAAGATAAAAAAAAAATTAAGCCCAGTGCTGGTGGCTCACACTTAAAATTTATGTACTCAGGAGGGTGAGATCTGAGGATTGTTGTTGAAGCCAAGCTTGGGCAGAAATGTCTTGAGATTCTTATCTCCACTTAAGCACCAAAAGAACCTGAAGTGGAGCTGTGACTCAAGTGGTAGAATGCTAGCCTTGAACAAAAACAGGCCCAGGGACAGAGCCTAGGCCCTGACTTTAAACTCCAGGACCCCTACCAAAGAGGCACTGCTCACACATCTCTTCTTCCTTGGAAGAGGAATTTAAGGTGTATTCTCACACCTTTGGCCCCAACGGCTCAAAGCACTGCTGTGTGTTTTACACTCACAAGAGGTTTATTTGATACCAGTTGACAGTTACATGGCAATAGATCCCTATCTTATGTTTGTCTCTCATCAATCTTCTACCTAAAAAATTAAATTGTTAGCAACTTTCAGAGCTCCTTCACTTGGGAATCCAGCCCAGTTGCTTGTAGCCATGCAGTGTCAACCTAGCCCAAAGTCTGTGGTTAGCAGCCGAAGTGGAAGACCAACAGTGGTGAACTGAGCTTTGAGTCACAATCAAACGGACCAGAGGATAACAAGATTAGTAGACAAAGTTTTTGGCCAGTGATGGAAGGGATCCTTCCTCTCCATGGTACAGGCTCTGCTGTGTGTGCACAAACCAGTAATAACTAGGGCAGTGTGAGTGTGCACAAACCAGTAATAACTAGGGCAGTGTGAGAATGTCCTGGAGTCCTCCAAGCCCTTTGGCTCTGTAAACTCAGGCTAAATATTTTTGGCATAGGATCCTAGCATTTTATCAAATACTACTGTGAAGGACATTTCCTCCTTGTCAACCCAACACAAACCAGAGGAGCCTTTATTTCTGTTGTAATGTTAACCTTGCTTCTTCTTAATTGTCCTTTTTTCTGCTAGAGGGAATATTAATTTTTCATGGATGAGAGGATGCATTTCCACTTGCCACAGTGTGACTGCATTCCATTTCAGATCAATGGACACCTTATATCTGCCCGTTCTAGACAAGGGCATAAGAGAAAATGGTCTCCAAGTCAGTTTGGGGTCTATTAGAAGGAAACTCCTTTGATAGGCTAGCACTGTACTCTACTCTCCTTCCTATCTATAAAAGAAGACATTTCTCTGAGTTAGGCCTATAGTGTCTGCTCACCTTTCCTATTCCTATAAGGAATAAAAGGCTTGTGGTACAGACTGATGTGGAGCAATCACTGGACTCATTGCTTGCTCATGACGCTTGCTCAGATGTGACTTTGGATGTTGCCTAATCTTGTGCCTGTGTTTTCCTAACTGTGGATGATTATCATACACAACTCCTAGATGGTGAGGAGGAATCAGTGAATTGGTATCTATAATGGAGTAGCATCTGCTTATAACAAACATTTTAGAATTATTACTTTCATGTCTTGATTCAGCCATGGATCTTGTCCACATGCTGTTGAGCTTACAGCGATCTTTTGTTCTTGTCTTCTCCAGTTGCGAAGTGAGATCAGGGCCAGAATTCATCACCCGATCTTACAGATTCTACCACAATAACACCTTCAAGGCTTACCAGTTTTACTATGGCAGCAACCGTTGCACAAACCCTACCTATACACTTGTCATCCGAGGCAAGATTCGCCTTCGCCAAGCATCCTGGATCATCCGTGGGGGCACTGAGGCTGACTACCAGCTGCATGGTGTCCAGATCATCTGCCACACAGAAGTGGTTGCTGAGCAGCTCAGCCAGCTGGTGAACCGCACATGCCCAGGCTTTCTGGCCTCGGGTAGCCCTTGGGTACAGGATGTGGCCTATGATCTGTGGCGGGAAGAAAATGGTCATGAGTGTACCAGGGCCGTGAACTTTGCCATGCATGAGCTGCAACTCATCCGAGTGGAGAAGCAGTACCCCCACCATGGCCTGGACCATCTTGTGGAAGAGCTTTTCCTTGGTGACATCCACACAGATGCCACCCAGAGGATGTTCTACCGACCATCTAGTTATCAGCCACCCCTACAAAATGCCAAGGTACCTGGCTCCCTAACATCTGTACTAAAATAAAATAGTTGGCTCAGGTAAGGGTATGTCATAGAGGTCCCAGGAGACCTGGGAAAGGGAAACTTGAGGAATACAGGCAAATTGAGGCTACAGGAGGTGAGCGATGTGGAAGGCCCAGGACTGCCAACCACTTGCTTTTTGTGACCCAGGGCTTCAGTTTCCTGAAGTTGGGGATGGTAGGGTGAGGATCCTAGAAAATATCTACAGCTCCAACATTCTAGAAGTGTCCTCTGTGACCCAGAGGAAGGAAATGTAGCTGTATTACAGCCATGTTTGAAAAAGACACCACAGAACAGTACTGTCCCATGGAGAAGATGGAGAGGGACAGAGGGAAGTCATCAGTGACTCTCTAATCTGCATGTTGCTGAGAGCTTTCACCTGGCTACTGCTTTCAGTCTGCACAGCGACCTCCTGAGGGAAATGTCCTTACAACACTCTCTGGCAGAGGCAGCAAAGGTCCCAAAGGTTAAGCATTCCTGAGCACACACTTTGTGAGTTCCAGCACCAGAACTCTTTCCACCAGACCCAAATTCCTTCCATTTTACTAAGCAACATGTAAAGCCACTATGATCAGAAGGGAGGACCAAAGAATGGAGGAAGCAATTAAAACTTATAATGTTTTCTCCTTGTGTGATGCTCCAGTAATTATATTTGGAATTTGCAAAACATTTCCTTCCCACAAGCTCAGAATCATGTCAGTAATGTAACTTGATCGGCTCCACGGCAGAAACTTGGTTGTTCGGAGCTGGGAGGAACAGACAGAGTCAGGCCTCTGTGTTGGTCAGGCCACTTTCCCTGGAGTGTTCCCAGGACACACGAAGTTGCCTTGGGTGGAACAGTCCCTAGAACAGTGGCAGTCTAGTTACAGAGGCCTGCTTGTCTTGTTTGGGTTGTTCATTTTGAAAATCTATTCTTTTTTCCTTAGCAGTACTTTGAGCTCACTCAGAATCAGTCAAGATAACACAGAGTACTTCCTCGACTACAGACTGCTCACTGTTGTCTTTTTTTTTTTAATCTGTTATTGTGAACTTAAGGAATGAAAGTAGCCTTTATTAGAAATCTGCAGAGGAAGCCCACTTGGCAGAGGTTGTGTCCTCTGTTTCCATCTCAACAAGGAGGTATCCCCATGTCGCCTTGTGCAGGGACCAGAGCCCTCAGAGCCAGGGCTCCCTGCTGTTGTGCTATCCTGCCTTTGTATGGCCACCTGTGGGTCAGCTTGTGCCCACAAAGTAGGAGCCTGAGCCTTTTGATGCTGTGAGTTTCAAAACTACCTAAGAGGCAAAGGCAAGTTAAACTAGTTAGGGAGGGAAAGTTCTCTAGATTCCCAGGGCTGAAGCCCCACCACCACTTCCAGCTTTCTTGTTGATTAATTGGAAATAAGAGTCACAGACTTTTCTATCCTGGGCGGGGCGGGGGGGGGCACTTGGAATCAGGATCTTCAGATCTCAGCTTCCTTAGTAGCTAGGGTTACAGACATGAGCACTGAAAGCCTGGCTTCTAGCTATTCTCTTATAGTGGATGAAGGAGGATTCCTAAAGCTCAGCCCTTTCCACAAATACATCTCTAACAAAGACATCAAGAGAGAATGTACTCACTAGGTCAACCCCTGGCTGGGTCATAATTCTTAGCCAGGTTGTCATGGAAGACAGATTAGGACCTTGGGCTTCCAGCTACATTCTGACTCCAAGCTAGTTGGTGGTAAAGTTGTCTGGAGCTGGTGCTAAGGCTCATAGCAGTGTATGCGTTACCTCTCCTGGAACATGGCTGGACACAGTGGCAGAGAAGGGGATTTTCTTACCTCCATTTGGCCCCTCTAGTAGCCAACTTCCCACAGATCTGCAGGGATGGGATGTAGAGTAACTTCACCTGAGCCAAGAACACAGCCCCCCACCCCCCCAATCTCACTTATAGCCCTTAGGAGTTGCTAAGCAGGCAGAGTCCTCATCTTCTTCCCCACCACCACAAGTCCAGGAAGCAAGAGGCTGGTGTCTGAATGAGGAGGCTAGCTGCATCTGCCCCATAGCTGACCTTGGGTTGCTGTTTGTATTCACCTATGCTCAGATTAGGTTTCCTCACCAGGCCAGCACACACCCACATGGGATCTTTGGTCTTTTAAACTCAGAACTGGAAAAAAAAAGGGGATGCTCTAAAAAAAAATAAAAACCTTTCTTTTCTTTTTATCTTTTATTAAATGCCAGTACTGGGGCCTGAACTCAGGGCCAGTGCATTCTCCCTTAGCTTTAATACTGAAGACTAATGCTCTATCACTTGAGCCACATCTGGCTTTTTGGTGGTTGATTAGAGATGAGTCTTGTGGATCTTTTGCCTAGCTGGCTTCAAACCATGATCTGAGATCTCAGTCTCTTGTGAAGCTAAGATGATAGACATAAGCCATTAGTGCCTAGCCACCTTTCTTCACTTACCCTGTCTCTTCACCTTCAATTGGTGCTGTACCTCCAGGGCAGGCAGCTCAGTCCAGAGCTCATAAGTTACATGACCCCTCCCCACCTGCCAGCTCCTTTATTCTGCTGTGCAGGCTGGAGGACAACCTTCACTATCATCATCTCTGATTACTAATCAGAGCTTGTCCATTGTGGAATACACTTGTAGCCCCTGGAAGGACCTGTCTTCAAAGTGAGAGTTATTTACCTTAGGTATGGAAATTAAAGATGGCCATCATAATGCTGACCTTGAGCAGAAAAAGAAAGGAACAGTACTCAGGCCCTGAGTTCAAGTCCCAGTACAAAAATCAATCAATAAGAAAGAAATACACTCTAATCTCCAGTCTGATACCAAGATTCCGAAATATGAAGGGTAGAAAGAACTTGGGTAGTATTTAGGAAGTAAAAGGAAAAGTACTGAGAAAAGTATCAAGACAGGAAGGCACAGAGTAGCATGCTGATTCTACTTTTATAAAATCAACAATTAAAGAAGAAAGGAATTAAGGATTTCTGGGAGGGTACAAGAGATCTGGCCATGCATGGCCTCTGACAGTGGGACTGTGTGGTGCAATCAGACACCTTCGCTTTTTGTACCTTCTGTGATGTGCACCACAAACTTCTATTATCTAATCACCCTTGCCACGAAAAATTTAAATTCCTAAAAGAACCATTCTCTCCAAGATCCTGATGAATGCTGAGGCCCGGTAAAGCTGGCAGGAGGGGTTAGGCTTCCAGAGGTTGGCCAGGCACCTTGGGACTGCTGGGGATGCCTCGCTGGGGTGGGTGGGGACAGTGGAAGGCTGTGTAGCTACAGAACCTGAAAAGGCATATTCTTTTCTTGTCCTTCATCTTGTACCTCTTGGCCCACTGAGCCCTCAGGAAGTTTTTAGATCCTTTCCCAGGACAGCTGTGGGGAGGAATAAATGCACTTGGCCATTCGTGGCTTTCTAGACAGACGCTGGACCTGGTAAAACCCAGTGTCCTGTGCCTATGGGATGTCCAGAAGCAGGTTCTTTGGGCTGCCTGTGGCCACCCTGTCTAGAACAGGAAGCAGCAGAGTGTCTTCAAAGAGCCACAGTCCTGTGCAGGAGGGGCTGGAATCTCCCTCCTTTGAACTCTTCGCCTCCCCTAATTGCTGGTCCATGGAGACCTGGCTGAAAATTAGTTTAAATGCTAAATTGAGTTTCAAACCACGAGTCTCAGCCCCTGTGGAAACAGGACACCATGTAAAAATAGAAACTTCAAGTCAACTTGTTTTTCTAGGCTTTATGCAGCTTTGCTGTGAGGTTCAGAGTCCTTTGGCAAGTAATTGATGTTTGCAGAGATTCAGGTGTGTGAGGATTATTTCAGGAGGAAACTGGCTCCTCTTCATTAAGAAAAAAATCAAGGCAACCTAAAATAATCCTGGTAGAAGATGTTTTGATTAAATGGAGTTTTAACACGAAGGCAGCCATTACCCTCAGCCTGGATTCTTCAGAGCCAGGCAGTTAAGATTGTATAGCCAAGTTCATGCTTACAGTGATAGAATCAAATGGTTATTAAAAAGCAAATGGTTGCCAGAAGCATTAGAAACACCAAAACCTCAGGATCAGACTTGTAAGCAAATGGAATTGGTCTTTCTCCAAAATCCTGAAATGATTTAACCACATGGTTATAAATCAAAGGGGTTGTCTGAAAACAAGACAGCTTTCCCCAAGCTGTGTCTCTTAAATATTCTGTCCCAGCAAAACAGCTGTGGTGGAGCTGTCTACAAGAACGAGGAAAGCACAAGGCTTTTAAAGGACTTGAGGCCTCCAAGAAAAGAAGAAAAGGCCCAAAGCTCTGTGTGCTCTCAAGTTCTATGGAAGCTTCAGGCTAGGAACCAACGTGCCAACCGGACACAACCTTGTTAGAAATGTCTGTCCTTCTGGGTCCATAGGGCATTGGTTGCAAGACACCTATGGATGCCAAAATTGTTCACATAAAATAGTGCAGTACTGGTATAGGACCTCTGAACATCTTCCAACATGCTTTAAATCATGTCTAGAAGACATATAATATCTAAGATGACTTAAGTGTGATGTTAAACAGATAGGAAATATTAATCAAGGCATTTGAATGTGTTCAGTACTGATGCAACTTGTTTTCTCAGTATGTTCTATCCATTATAGTTGGTTCAATCCTCAGGTGCAAAACCTAAAGAGTCAAAGAGCTGATTATATGTGAAAAATATTATTGAACTGTGGGCCTTCTGCTGCTGGTGACATTAGGGGATTTCAGAGCAGGTGGCTATCAGCAGTGGGCTTTTCAACTCAGGGACTGGATGGACTCTGCAGCAAACTGGGTACGGTCTCCCTAAATGTGTGTGGTATGGCTCCTGGGTGGGGCAGCCCTGGAGTGGGAAAGGAGCTAAGTATTCCCTGGTGTATTCTGCCAGTGTGAGGAAAAGTACATGTGGTATAGGAGTGGTAGGAGATGAAGAGTGGTACAAGGCCAGAGATACAAGAAGTTAGGCCTACCAATAGTATTATCAGTGGCTTACACTGGTAA